TTAATGTGTAAGGCGGATTCTTTTCGTCTGGTTTCAAAAGAGACCTGCTGTCAAAGAGAGTCATCTTTTGTTGTTTTTAATGGCTAGTGTAGTGAATGTTGCCATTTCCTTCACCCTGGACACGCCAATTAAACTAAACACAGGCTGTGCCTCTGCAGCTAGAGCTTCATACAATGCAAGCAATGTTATTTCTACATTATAAAGAACAAAATACAAAATCTTGATCCAGGATTTAAAGGTTTCAATCTGCTCCTGGTGATTGTTAGGCTTTAAAGAGACGCACATCTTTCACATCTTAGACCCCCTCTGGCTTTGCTATTGCAAGACGCAGACCTGACAGTTCTTTATCCGTATCCTAGTAGGTTGGATTTGCCTTGCCACAATAAGTCAGTGTGATGAAGACAGCTGATACCACAGCTGATGCCAGAGACGTCAAGTGCTTCTGAGCGTTAATCCGGCTCTTTTACTCCCAGTCTTTCAGATGGTGTGAATGCAACAAGATGTCTCCGGAGATGTTGCTTTTCCCCTCCCAACGCTGTGTGGGAATGTCAGGATGGAGACGCAACCGTGCAGAAACAAAATTGCAAAAAAAATGTAGAGCACAGAAACAACACACACCCTGGCATACACACAAACATGCCCTTAAAGAAATGTGAGAAAACTAAACTAAGGACATTTGGTATGCAAGCTCTGTTGCTGCAACTGCACAGGTTCCTCTTTACCTCTATTCAGCTACACCTCATACTATGTGTGCTGTTTTAAATTGAAAAATATATATATGGATGCGTTTAAAAGGTATGACAAATTTCTCTTTTTATGAACAAGTAAGATACTTAAAGGAGCGGTGTGTAAGATTTAGTAGCATCTAATGGTGAGGTTGCAGATCGTAACCAACTGAATAATTCTCTCACTCCTCCCTTTCTAAGAGTCGGAAAACTACGGTGGCCTTCAGGTAACTTAGAAACGTCGAAGGCCTTCTCTAAAGCCAGTATTTGGTTTGTCCGCTCTGGGCTACTGTTGAAACATGGTGGTGCAACATGGAGAACTCTGTGAAGAGGACCCGCTTCTTATTTAGATATGAAGGGCTCATTCTAAGTTACAGGTGATTATACACTGATGAAGACCAATGAGTTACACATATTGTACTCCATCCCTGCCAATAAATGCCCCTGAATCCTACACACAGTTTAAATCCCCGATCTGTAAGATGTTACAGGTTTTTATGTAGAATTCAAAGTATATCTCTTGCCTCCACAAGGCTCTCCACAGGGAGACAGCTGAGCCAGCACCTAGCAGCTAACGGTGCTAATAGCACTAGCAGTGCAAACAACAGTGCTTACGGAGCTAACAGCGATTACCTGGGGAGACCGAAGTGTGGGCGCTAAACTTCTGCAACGACAGCTGGGACGGCATTATTAGCGGTAACCGCCATCTGAGCGCAGTGCTATTGTGCACATGCATGAAAATGCACACACAGCCTGCCAAGCTACATAAACAAAGCACAGAGATGCTCAGAGTTCAGCACACACAGAGGGAGAGAGACTTTATCCGCTATATCTTATAGCAAATAGTTGTTTTCTGCTATATTAATGCTCTAAATCCCATAGAACTTTTAAAACCATGTTTCAAGGCTACATCTCTGTGGATTGTCTGAGATTGCATAAATGTTCATGTGGACTCCCTGTATGTACAGTACACTATATCTGCATGATGTAACACTTGGAGCTTTTATTGACGTCTTTGTACTTTGCTCAACTAGTTTGCAGTTTGTTCCCAAACACCCACATCGTGTTTTCTCACGACCTTGCTTAATGAAAAAGATAGATAGCACTACATGAATAGATCTGCGTCTGATGTTTTATAGATTCCTAAAGGGCCTTCTGGTCTGCGTCAAATACAGAGCATCACCCCTGAAGCTCATAGGTATTTGCATTGTGAATAAACAAAACGTATCACTTGTTCAGTGGAACCTTGGTGACTTGCATCGCCCTTGACTCAACAGCTGGCCTATGACATTTTATGCTTCCTTTATATCTTATGGATAGAAACATGCAACACAACGTGAAACGCATTGTATTCTAGGAGAAATTGGACTTGCATTATTACTGCAGTGTTATCATCTGCGGTGCACACAGGCATGAAATCAGATCTCATAAAGATAGTGTGAATTAAATTTGTCTTCAGATTTAAATCTCTAAATCCCTCTCTCTGTGACTATGGGGTGTGATATGATGCATGTCCTGTACTGCAGATGAAAGTATGCTGATTTTGACTCTGCCTCTCGGCGTCGTTAAACCAGACCGTCTCGGCTCCAAGGCATTCGGTTCAGAAGGGTATAATGTATTTTCTCAATTTGTGACCGAGGCAATAATTGCAGACGGGCTGAATAGATGATGAAAGTAGTAAAGAATGAGATTGAGGTCGGGCAGAAAACTATTCAAAAAGAATAGATTTAGAGTCTAGTCTATGTTAGCTCCTGAATACTGCATAATTCTGTGAAAGTTCCACAGAATGGGTAGTGCCAATCAGCAACCTCCTAGATTGAACAACAAAAGATGTCTCGACAACAAAAGCAGCTTCAATTCCGTTTCTTCTCCAATAAAAAAAGATTTGACATACTGTATGTAAGGATGGCAACAAGGAACCTTTCCTGCTCTTTGACAGGTTCAGTGGAAACCTAAAAAAATCTCAAACACATCCCATCAAGCGAGGAAGGTGACGAACTCTTTGAGCCTTGAGATTGTGTTCTGGTTGGAAGTAAGATTTTACACAAGTTTTAAAATCTTTATGAATCTGCTTAGGTTTGACTAGCTCACATCAATTTGACACCACCAGAGTGAGGTATTACATTTTAGGCCTGTATCATGTAAGTTCGTGAAATAGTCAGGAAATGCAATCTATTGCTTTTGTGTGCATGGACACAAATTGTCTGTTTTTACCCTGTGTTGTGCAGGACAAAAACAATGTGAAAGGAAAGCCAATTAAGATCCCTTTTCATAGTAGACACAAATGAAATGCAGCAACTTGACGATGCAATGGTCTGACAAAGTGACCAAGATATTATTTCAAATCGAGAATAAACACTTTTGATGGACAGAATACCAGCAGAATACTTTCAACCACGAGACCGGTGCTCGACACTGTGCGTCCCAAGATGTTGTGGTTTTGTTGCCTAAACCTAAAAAAAAACTGCCGCTTTGTAACATAATGCTGTCCCCAAAAAGGAACGGACAGTTTGTGTCCCTGTACATGAAACCAATAGATTTACTTTCGTGACTATTTCACGAACTGCCGTGAGATTGTATTGTAAATCTTTCAAGTTGTTCATCCAATATTTTGACCTTCACACTTCTGTATTTGTGTACCGAAGACTTTGTAGGTGAAAACATTGTAACAATAAAAGATATTTTAGAAGCTTGTAACATTGAGCTTGTGAACAACCTCTCCTTTTTCCTTTGAATGCCGTTTTTTTGTCCTGCACCTGTACCCAAGTGGGGTTGGATGTGCACACTATCCACTTTCTTTGCCTTAAAACCTACTTATATAAAGACCAAAAGTGCTAAGGGTGCTGCTCATTTGATATTTCAGTCTCGGTACACCTGGTTTGAGCAGCGTGGTCCCGCGAAATCAATGAAATCTTTGGATTTCTCTTTTAAAAGCTGAAACAGCTGTTCTGACTGGTCAGTAAATCAATCACCAGTCTCCATTAGTCTATAAATAACTAACCCCATAACATACAATTCTCCCTCTTTCTCCACCTTGCACAACTTTAAGGTTGTTCATACTCTGCGTTGGCTTGTTCCAACTCTATAATGGAGCTATGTGATATTTACACTGAATGAAATATTCAAGCCCAAGACTTAGTATTTTTCATGGATTCCATCAAGTGGCAACATGCTAGATGTTTTGTGCATCATTTCACACACATTTATCCTGATATATTTGGTATCTATGGAGACTTTGGGATCTGAACTAGACTTTGAAATGCACAGCATGAGTTTCAAAGTGGCCTGTCGGTTTTTCACTGATTTTCAAGGATCAAATTGATTTATTAGTCAAGCAAAGACGAGACAAGAATTTGCTGCTTTTCTCTGTTTTATTTCATTGTGAAATTGAATTCTTTCTAGTCTGGACCTATAATCAGAACTTGCTTTTTGATGTGATTAATCCATTAATTTATTAGCTGCTGCCCTATTGTTCCTTTCTTCTTTTTGACTTAAATGCTTTATATAAACCCTGTCATGTATTGCATTTTATTATTGATATTCAAGCCTTTTACTTAATATTATGATTCTGTTATTCTGTCGTCTGGCTTGTTTAAATTATAGAGCAGTACTCTTTATTTTGTCCAGGGAACAAAAATGTCTCTCTCTCTCTCTGCCTTGCCTTGTATCACCCTCTCACTCTGTTTGTATTGCCATTGGACTCATGCCTCTCTTCCTGTCCTCTGGGACCCTGAGACAGTGTGATAGCCGGACTCTTAAGATGTGTCCACATTCATCTATCCCATCTACTCCTCACTCTCGCCCTTCCCTCCCTTCCGTCGAGGCCGCAGCGTGCCAGAGGTCCTCGGCAGCGTTTGTCTGCCCTGCTGGTGAACCTTTTTAGCTGGCACAATTCAAGCCTCGGTCCATCTGAGGGCCGTGCCACTTTGTCTTAGGAGACGAGTTGGACAGAGAACTGTAGGATAGGGAGAAGGGATGAGGTCTGACACTTGGACAAGATGCGTGTCGAGGAAAGGATGGCACGGAGGAGGTTAGCAAAAGACAGATGGGGGCGAGAGGGGGCCGTCTGGAGGGAAATTTGGAAAGGGGAACAAGGATGTCAACACAGAGGCAAGCTCGAGCAGGAGACACAAAGGTATCCCAGGAAATTAGGATTTGATGAGCTGCGAGCAGAGGAGTCAAGGAGAGTGATGCTGTGACAAGATTATCTGAGGGGGTGAGAAAAGAAGAGGGAGGCCACAATCTCCCTCTCTTCTTTTCCAACTTTGCACTTACCAACTTTTTGAAGCAGCAAGAATAAAAAAAAAGGAGGAAAGAAAAAGGTGGTGTTACTGAAAAAATGAAGTCCATAGTCTATACAACATTGTGTTTTGTAGTGGAGAACAGAAACATTCATTTGATAGAAATAAAGAAGGCAGTCGAGAGAAGGATGGAAGCCAGCGGGAAGAATAACCTGAAAGTAGGCCGATCAATTGTTAATATCAGAAAAATAAATAGGATAGAGATTTGGGAGAGAGTTAGAGAATGTTTCTAAGAATAGATGAAAAAAAGATCAGGAATGAATCAGTGAAAGTGGTGTGAGCTAAAGCTGAAACAAGCAGAGAGCTTTAGTGTTAGGGAGTCAGCTGGGATGGTAAAAAGTAATGACTTGGTAACTCCCAGCAATATCATATTAATGGAGTCGCTGATTAATAGATTAACAATCAATAACTGACTTTGGCGAGAAAACCAATTTGATGTAATAGTGAAGATTTGTTAGGGATCAACTTTGCTTCTTGATGTTGAAATTCAACTCTCTTCACCCCTGGAGTTGCACGGAAAGTTGCTGAGCCTTTAAGGTGCAACAGTTCCGAGAGCTTCTTTTAATAACACACAGAGAATGCCAGGACATGCAACCGTATAGTTTGGATTCATTATGAGAAAATGGGTCCTTGGGTACGGACCAACGTGATCTTACAGAAATACGTGAAATGACCATGTCCACTTAACAGCGTATTACGTAGCGGTGACAAATGATGTAGGTTTAATCAACAAAAGTAACGTTAAGTTATGGGCCCAATAATATGGTTAGGCTTAGAATAAGTACGTAAACATTTCACAAATGTCAATCTCAAAACTTGAGTTGACAACAAACAAACTGGGATCAGGAGCAAAACATGTCACTGGATTGTGGCTCCCCTTGACTGAGCTCTTTGACTAATCATAGAGAAATGATAAGACAATGGGCCAGTTGGTCTAATGTTTAAGGCTTCTTCACAATGATCAATTGAACAATTAAAGTAGCAACGCATTCAGCAACTGTTTCCGCCTGACATTTGACAAATGGTCTTAGTGATGAGGAATGCAACGGTTCTTAGCTATAGCAATGTGTTCAGGTCAGTAGGTTTGGTGTACAAACACAGCGATGGGTGTCACTTCACTGAACACCAATGTTGTTCTAACAAGGACAATTACCCCAATACTTGCTTGGAATTAAAAACCTCATTACGGAGACTTAATTAATGATCTGGAAAGTAAAGGATATTAACATAGAGCAAGTGATAACAGTGTTGTTGCATTTGCCACATTTCATCTACATGTCTCATTTATGGCACATTCTCCTTTGCAATCAAGTAGGGCATACTCATAATGAGAAATTAAAATTTCACAATATTACCACAGAGAGGGTTTTTTTTCTTTGACATTGGACAATTATGAGGCAAAAATCCCTGAAGGCAGAGTGCTGTCCTTTTATGGTAAATGGTGCTATTACAGCATGCACCTTGTTGGTAGAAAATTCACAGATAAGCTATTGTACTGCCCCACTGTTAGTGCCCCACTGACAAGGTCGCATATTTTTTGGAATGAGCTGAGAGGAATGGGGGAAATTAATATGGCATAGATAGCGAGCTGTAAAGACAGAAGTTAGGGCAATTTGTGTTCTTCCCTCAGCTGTATGACATTGAGAGGACCATGTATTTGGAGGATAAAGACATGGGAGAAGTGACATTAGCCTGAGCAGCAGAGGGTATTTGAGAAAAGGGAATAGAAGAGAAAATGAGTCGGTAATATGAGCACAAATTACAAGGAAGAGCAGAATATAAAAGACAGAATAGCGAAAGGTAGAAATGCAGTAAACACATGAATTATTGTTACTTAAAAGACAGAAGATTGTTTTGGAGAAGTTATTTTAAATGGTTATGGAAGCTGTGGTATTTCACAGTTTTTCGCTCTCTTGCAATGTATTCAATGTTTTAATCTGCATAAAATGAAGGAATTCAGTTAAAGCCACTTTCAGAATTTGTTAAGGAATACTTGTTATTTTTCTACTTTGCAGCAGTTTTGCTTCACTGTTGTATCAATGCATGTATTAGCATTGTTTCTCAAATTTCCACCAAAAAACCCACAGCATTGATGTGGCTTCTGAGGACCTGCATCAAAACCCACTGAAACAAGATCTACATAATGAGCACGAAGAATTGAATGTGCTGTATGACTCGTGATAAAAGAAGAGAAGAATCTATGACTGCATTGCTGCTGCAATGACTAACTGCATTTCTGAAGAAATACCATAGAGGCATATTTCAAGGGGAATATGCAATAAGGGTCACAGCCAAGATTTTAGATGTGTTATATTTCAGAAGCAATACCATATGCATATTTCAAGGGTAATATGCAATACGGGCCACAGCTTTTTAGATGTACTATACCCTAAGAGTTAATGTCCTGCTACTTTTCTATTTGATTATTTTGATTGATTTGTGACCTTTGAACCCACCCGTCCCCACACACCCAACATTATTATACAACACTCTGCCTTGTGGGGATGTTTGCAAATGGTCCAATGGTTGGTCTTGGTGTACATTCATGAAGATTTGATTCCCCTTCGTGCTTTATTTATGTGGCTCAATACTCCAGTTGAACCTCATCAGAATGATTTAAGATACATGACCCTCTCAGTTTCCCTCATGTTTACTTTTATCAATCACATTTGATGTCATGGTTTAATGATAGATGTTGGTACACTGAGAACATTAAAGTAGAATATGTAGAAACTTACTTGGGTCAGACAGGATCGAGTCCGTCTTGGGCAGAAACTGGTCACAGCGGATTCCCTGGTAGCCTTCTCGACACCTGGTGGTGAAAAGAGAGAGAGAGAGCAATAAACCATCAGTCACTACAACAGAAGTGGGTATGCTCCTAAATTATTACCCAATTTCTTGGAGGCCCGTCCAGGAAAGTGTTATAAACAGTAATATGTGAGACTTGCATGTCACTGTTGCCCCAATGTTGCATAGCAAGGTCGTTTGTAACTCTGACAACACATTGAGTAGTTGGCTTCATCTTTCCTATTATTTTCATTAATCAGATCCAAAGGCCATATTTTGTTTGATTATTTGAGGTAAACCAACACGGCAAGTGTGGGGGGGGGGGGGGGATCTGAAGGTAAGTGTAAATCAGAGACATTCCCGCCACTGTTTACGTGGAGATAATCTCTTAATTGGGTGTTTGCATTTATTCACGTGATTAGATTTGCTTCTCGTGCTGGACTGTCTGTCATGATTTCACTATTGCAGGACACCACTGAATAATGCTCATCATAAGGGGTTCAGAACAAGTCACGTGACTACTTGCGACTCACACGACAAAATGTCAACTTTTAGTTTCCCGCAGGACACAAAAAAAGGGCTCTTGGACAAAAGTCCTTTGTTTGTTCAACCCATTCACTTCCCCTCCCGTCCGGTCTGTGTGGACTATCTCAAGCTGGACTATCTCTGCTATGTCATTTGCTCTGAGCATGAAATAATAAAGCGGATGGGTTTATATTGGAGTAATTTGTTAAGCCTGGTGTGTCGGTATCAGGCAGCGAGGGGCGAAGTGAGTTGGGACTGAGACCAGGTTCAGAAGGATAGGGAATTCCGACTGAAAAATACCAGCATATACCCTGAACTGCACCACTGACTACAACTGATGTAAATCCAAAAGATGCATGAAAAGCACCTTCTCATGTTTTGAGACAAATGCAGGTAAGGTCCAGTCGTTGTGGAAATGAGCCGGATTGCAAACAAGTGTAAAGTAAGGCAAACTGACAGGAATAAATTAATAGAGAGGTGATTTTTAAGGGTTGAAACCTGCAATATGAGAGAACTTTCTCGAAGAAGACATCTGTCTTTTCAGCAAAATGCACAAATTGAGGCTGCAGCAGAAAAGGAGCATCCATTCCCTATTAGGTGAGACCTTATAACCTTTGTGTGTTTGTTTTGCTGAATGAGTTTCAAGTTCCTTGCTTGGTGGCATGAAATGTTCCCAGAAAAAGACAAATGTAGAACTTTCTCCTAAAAAAGGCAAGGAGTAACAACTGTGTTAAGATGGAGCTGAACTTGCCAGTGACGATGAGTCTGCTGTCAAACGATTTTCTTTTCCCTTTTTCTCTTAACCCCTACAAGCCACCAAGAGGAAGCAATTCTGATGAAGAGTGCTCAATTAATTGAAGACACATTCCGTGGTTTCTGGATAGTCGTCAAACCTTCAAGACATGTCAACTTATGAATTTGATTGGCGCATTTTTGAGAGTGCCAGTCAGGCAATGATCATTAAGTGGCTAATGAATTCTGAAATGTTCTCGGGCCGCTCTTCAGAAAATGTCACAGGAAAAGGCTGTGCATTGCGAGGTATGTGTTTTTAATTAATTTCAGCTCAATAACTGCGTCCTTATCAACATATAGAAGTAAATGTGTTTTACAGTGCTAGCATGGAGACTAAAATTCCAGTATGCGGTGTAAAGCCTAATTGGGTGTCTCAGTTGGTTTGGATATTAATCTTTGCCTCTGGCTATTTGTACCTCACTTGCTGTTCTGTTTCTCTCTGTCGCTCTTGAGGAAAGTCTCACATATAGAAACTTCAGAAAAGTAGTTTGTGCTACCTCTCTAAATGTGACCCTACTATATCTATTCAATCTATCATTTGATCACTTTCTTAATTATTTTTCTCATTTCCTCCCGTTCCCCACTGTGGATTTGTTTCATTGACACTCCTGCAGTTAATCTACATCTGCTCTGACAAGCTGACAGCAGAGCAAATATGCATGTCCCAGCGGCCCCAGCCTTTTGAAGCACCCAACTGAGAGAACATCTACGTCCACCCAGACAAAACACCGGAGCTGTACATATAGAGATCAAGCTTACAAAAGAATGCAGTGTGACATATCAAAGATTTTGCTCCATGCAGAGTGTAGCCTCTTTATGTCTCTGATCTACGGTGAGCGATTTTCAATTATTAAGTGAGCTGCAGGAGGCGGGGAAAGACGCACTCGACTGTGCATGCCGGTGGTTTGCTTAAATAGCATCGTCACTGTTGGGAGGGAGAAGGGGGAACACACGAGGAGACGTCTGGTGAGAACAGACTCTGTGACATTGATGCTGAGTCTAAACAAAAAAATCACAAATAAAATGTTATGGTGCCATTGAATTTAATCTCTCTGAAATTACATGTACAGTATACTGTATTACATATATGTATAAAACTACATTTCTGTGTGCTTTCTGCAGCTTGACTAGCACTGCAGGTGGATATAAATTAACATGCAGTGGTAAACTGACATTAGTCCATCACTGCAGTTTCTTAAACTGTAGATCTTGAAGCCAACTGACTGATTTCTGTTAAAAAATGTAAAGAAACTTTGGTTGTCACAGTAACCCGAAGGCATACTTTCTGTTTGTCAAGTATGTGGTTTTGCAAAACACCCCATCTGTTTGGTTTCCTTACTATACTGTATGTATGGGGGCTTCTCATAATCACATTCATCACACTACATAGCCTTGAAGACAGACAGTAATGATGTTAACTACGCTGTTAAGGAGGCCTCGACCATCTCATCATTCGTCAAGGAGTCCGTATTGCCGCCTGTCTTCCAAGTTTGTTATTCTCAGCTTTTACTGTTGCAACATATGATGCCAAATATGTGTTGTGTGGGAGCAGTGGAACAAACCAAACACCAGAAAACACAGCCGCCTTAGTTTAAATACACCATTCAAATACAAAACTCCAGCCAAAGTGGTTTGAATGTTGCTGTTTGGTGTCTAGACTTCAGCTCCTTAATCAGATGCTGCAAGTCAGGATCAAGGTCTGACATGTCAGCAGGTCACTTAAAACACAGGTGGACTTTTTCTCCGTGCTAAATTGGTTAACATCCCTCCATGCCGTTATGACCTAAACTGACTAAACCTTGACAGGAGGCAACCTTTGTCACACCAAGTCAAGGCGCAGAAGATAATTAAAAGAATAGAGGCTTAACATGGTGACACTGTCTGTGAGTCATGCTCATTAGGGGGAGACTGTGGAAGTGGGAATACGTGATCAGAGTGTGCCAAAAAAAACAATACTGTGAATACTGCGAAACAGCATACAACTATGCACATCTGCATGTGCACAGGCCTCTTGAAGAGTGTCCGTAAGCGCCACAAAAACATATGTAATTTCCTACTTTATCATGTCTAAGACTGTCCGCTACATGAAGTTACTGTATCCCACAAACTCCCTTTTTTTGCCGATGCTGTTCCCAACTGAGATCAAAACACATCAGTGTTGCTTCATAAAGCTCGGAGGAGGGAATCTAAGAGTGAATGAGAAACAGTCGGAGGGTATTGAAGGGTTGCATGCCTTCTAATTAGCACCATAGTCATTAATTAAAAGAAAAGAGGAAGAGATTGCATGTGCATGCATGTGTGTGTGTGTGTGCATGCGTGTGTGTGTGTGTGTGCATGCGTGTGTGTGTGTGTGTGTGTGAGAATCTCTCGCAAATGTACAAAGCAGCACCAAGAAGGGGATAAATATAAACATGCGCCTGGAGGATGATGAATTCCTGCAAAGGGAAGTGTGAAAACACATGCGCTGGTGCTCAAAGACACACATACATATGCAAAACAGAAGGGAACATTCACATCCCATTTAAGCAGTTCAAGTTTTCCGTGTACTGTATGTGGGAGAACATGATATTTTATATGCTATTGTTTTTCCTGCGAAGCAAACTTAACACTCCTAAGGTGGAGGTGAACACTTACGCATTAACATTCACACTCTGAAGCTGCTCAGCATCACTCCAGTTGGGGTTAAAACTACTTTGCTCAAGGGCGCCTCAGGGATTGATCCTGCAATTGCAGGATGCTGAACTGTCGTTAGGCTGAAAATTATACATGCTGCAATCTCTCTAACTTTAAAAGTGCTGTTTGAAAGTTTGGTCAAATGCCTGGCTAAAGCTCCCACACTTAAATCTCCTAACTGCATTTGTAATACACATATCTGTAGGATGTCTTGATCTGGATGCACAAAAGGGACGGAATTACGTCAAGTCAGGCTGACAGAAATTCAATCAGTCGACACCGTCCTCATGCTAAACGTCAGAACAGACAATGGACAAGCCCTTTTATTTGCTATATTCGTCCAATCCAGAGAGACTGAAAACTGGCAAATGAAGATGGAGTTCTGAAATGTTCTTCTCTGTAACCAAATGGTTGTACTGATCTTCCTTGGTTGGTACAAGACAGGAAACATTCATCATGTCCACTGATTCCCCCCTCAGCTATTAAAGATGTGATCCAAATAAAACAAGGAGGCAATCTGCAGTGTCAAACCACCAAATGAAATATTAGAGATCCAAACAACTACTTCTCTCTCCTTGGCAGGGCGGCCATTTGGACCAATTTAATACCGTGCAGCCACACAGCGGCGTGAGGCTCAATGGTCTATTAAAAGAAAATATGCCATACTGCATTGGTCAGACTGTGACAGGTTGGTTCAATGATCTTCACATCGTCGGCCATTTTCTCAGCATGAAATTCATTTTCGAGCAGAATGGTCGATACGCATCCGGTAAACCGACCAACAAATAACAGGAAATAGCCGAGGAAAAGTGTTGTTTCTGTCATGGTTGGAGCCTGACCTTACAACAATCTGCTCAGAGGGTAGAAATCGCAGAGAAACAGCCACATACCTTTTAAATAAAAAAATGGTTCATGCCTCCCAATCTTCATTTGGAATCTATCAAAAGCCTGAAAACATTTTTTTTTGCAATTTATACTTATCTTGCTAATCCATCATTGTTCTACTTGCCTCGGAGAGTGATTCATTCTTTTAAA